TTACTGAAGCATTTCTTGCAAACCTTGCCGCTGAATCCACCTGAATTGGCCAAAGCGGGGTGGTAATGTTATTCCTATAAAGGAAATGGGCCGTGTAGGGTTAAATTGACGTTATATGATAGTTTCCAACCATCTTTTAAACAATAAGTTTATGTAAATAAATCAGCAAAACTTGGCGTTTTCTGTGTGCTTTTTTCACAGTGTCACATGTGCGGTAAAAAGGACCCTATTTTACCCCCTTAGATTCATATTAAAACCTTCCATAATAGAATGATTCTGACACTGAATCAAAGACCAATGAGAAGACCTTACCGCTGGTGCGGGATCCAGGGTCCTACAACTAGACAAAATGAGTGATTTGTTGCCTAACGTATGGTGTGAAAACTTATACAGAAAGTTATCTGATCCCTAGCTTCTACTCGTACTAGCGTTGCATGAAGCACGCCCTCTGTAGATTACTTGAAGAGAGTCTGATTAAACCGTAACAGCGTCTCTTGTTGATAGATATTTTGGATGAATACATATAATTCCTGGGGACATTATCACACTTCATAGACGGACTTTGGAAATCGTTGATTGAGTTTGCCAGTAGTAACAGAGGATTTCTCCGAGAGGGTCCTGAGTAGTATTACAACGAAAGGAAGAAATGCCGCGTGGTAGGCCAAGGCGCACACGAGCGGCTACACAGCCTAATTAATTTAAAGTGGGACCTCAGCCCCGTAATCGAGCTCGCAAATTCCCGGGCGGCACGCCAGAGGGATCGGCACGTCAAGGTGGGAGCCAAGACGGGACAAGTGCCAATGAGACATCACGTCAGGAAGCAGCGGCGCCATAGCCCCTACAGTTAGGGTGCCTAGTCTAAACGCAGGCGACAACGGCGCTTCCCGCACCCGGTCGGGTGACAAGTCAGGCTTCCAATGTACATGTAGTCCAGCGCTTGCACATGGGGCCTTGTGGGATACCGGAACAATGAGAAGTACCCCACAAGGCCAGTTTTTACCTTGTGGGGTACCAAATTGATACCCCACAAGAATTTCACGAAACTGATATTTGGAAATAACTCAAAAAGGGAAAATTTTTAATGGGTAAAAATCCGTCGCAAGTTGAAGTGTTTTATATAGGCATAAGGGACATACAGTCGAAATTTCAACCCAGGGAGCTGAATTTGGTTTAAATTGGAGTGATTTGAAATTTTTTGCGTGTTATGTGGAAGTTTTGTACACGAGAACAAAGGAAATACCCCACAAGTATAGCTGTGTAAGGGTGGGTGAACCCATTGGTGCGTGATTAACGTAGCTTCACCTTGACGTACATGTAAATGTACATGTTGGTGCTCTTGATTGTATGACTACTTGCATGAAATTCCGCAATGATGTCATGGCCAATATACAGCGCAATTTGGATGGCCAAGATGTAATATTTCTTGTGTCTTCGAAAATGACATTACTTCTTATAAGTTCAATTGTTTTCGTTTCCCAAGCTGTCTTAAACATAAAGAGAAAAATGGATGGGCTCAATTCGACCACTTTTTCAATCATAACGGAATCGTCTGAGAGGATCAAACTGGAACAAGACTACGCTCTCACATAAGTCTTCCCTGTTTGTCCTCCCTAGTCATTGGTGGGGCTAATTTACAGTACAGTGAAGCTCAGCTGAATAAATAACATCCAAATCCACGAAGCATTTACCGCAAACGCAAGAGTTGAGAAATACTTTACTGACAACAGATACACATGGACGCTTGGCCGGGAGCCAGCAAGGGCCGCCAAGGATTCAAAGCTGAGAAACCATGCAGCCTTATGCTTTTCGTAACATAAATGCCAACTTCACATCTTGTACAAAATGTTACCGAGGCCAGTGATCGACCCAGAATGGAAGGTGAAACAGCGTCTCGTAATGCACCGCCTCACAAAAGCTATCCATGCCGGTGTCAAGGTTGATCTGCTCTGTGCATTTGCTTGGTGAGGAGTTTACACAAATATTTTACTGTAAAAAGTGCACAAAAGACCCGATCCATTTACTTCTGACCTCAGTCTTATTTAAAACAGACGCACTGCATTCATGAAGACTGTTACCTACAATTTCAGTCACAAGTGGTATAGCCGTTCAGCGCTGGACCCCCATGAAAACGAAGAAAGCCACTGTGACATTAGACTGGGCTCGGTCCAGTAATGGTGCATAGCCTACGGTAATGGTGTCAGTACTGGTGCGCCCATACATTAATCCCATGAGGCACCGGTAAAAACTTTATCCACGTCCATTATGTAAAATAAATTACATTGCATATGGTAAAAAAAATGACATTCAGAATTAGCGTATTTGTTAATTTCAACTTAACTATTGGTTCATAATGCCAAATATACGCATCCGATCTCTTGTCTAGAGCTAGGTCTAGGTCTTCGCTCCATTGGAAATGCGTGGAGACGCGCAGACAATAGACCTACAGTAACCGTAGCTCTGGAAGCCCGTTTCGGACACGGCCTTTACGGGCAGAACAGAGCAAATTAATTTGAACAGATAAATGAATGAAGTTTGACACTCATCCTACATAGACAGCAAACTGGGAATTTTTTAAACCGTGTTAATTTAGTCTACAACACAATTTAAGCTGCCTTAAGAACTGTGAGAGAGAACCCATCGATAAGGCAGTTTGAAGGGCTCTGGGGAGTGTCTCCCATAAACGAGGGAGTATATGGATTGGATAGCGATGTAAGCAATTGTTTCTAGCTACAAGATGAGAAAATCTTAAATCATCAATATGCCGGGAGTTGATATGAATATGTTCTACCACGGAACTGCATGTAACGTTACGATACATAGCTTTAGCAACAAAAGACACCAGTATAGATAGTCCCGTCGGGACTGGAGAGAACACCAGTTCAACTGTTTAAGTCGATCAAGGTAGGGCATCTCCATTCTCCTCTGTCGGGGAAGAATTCTTGTCCCCCGTCTTTGGATCTGCTCAATATCAGCAATCAATTATTACCACTGGTAAGACACCACAATCTTTCATGAGCTCTGGGTGGGAACTGAAAATAAAATCGATATATAGACCGGACAACTTCAGAATATTTCAACTTTTCCCAGAAAACTGGAGGAACTCCTCCAGTCTTGGCCACGTGGACTTTGGTTGATACCGAACCCTTGATTCATAAAGTAGTCAGGATCATCGTGTCTGGTATCGAGANCCATAGAGCCTGATTATGAAAGCTGACCCGACGGCGCGCTTCCGGAACCCTTAGATAAGAAAAATTACGTGCAGAAATTTTAGAATTTGTACTATTTTTTTTCTTTCAGTTACTTCTTAAAACTCTACGCTTAAAAAGGCCTTAGGTGAAAAATATTTGCTAGCATAGCAACTTATGAAAACTGAAATATGACATGACCTTACAGAGAAATATCCTGCCAAAAATTGACTTATAACTTCTGAAAATCCAAAATACATGAAGAATAGTGGAATTCGGGGGTCTCGTACGCAGATGAAGAATTGCTTTTTTTCTGTCCCGTTATTTTTCCGTCTTTTTCACGGACCTTTTTAAATTCATTTCGTTAAAATACGAACTCGAAAAATAATTCCCTAAACAGAAATCTGTAAATTTACGGAATTCGTTTTACGGAAATTTTTATGCCTTCCGTCTTTTTAACGGAAACAATGCTTTCGGATGTCTTTCTTGGCTCCATAGACACTTCACTGGCTCTTTGTCTTTGGCATGTTGGCCCTCGGTTGCCTAGTCACTCACAGTGTTCCACGATGATCCTTAGCTGGTCCTGAAGCAGGGAAATTGCATAATATTTACATTTCGATCAGTGAATCTGAAAGCAGAATGTATGTACACCATATTTCTATCAGTCTGCCATCTATGCCTGTCTCTTCTCTGATGCTAACATAGGCTGAGAGGGGATACTGAATGATACTGTAAGTGGGCAAAATGCTCTGGCAATTTCAAGCAGTGGCTCTATAGTGTTATACAATGTAGCTCTGCATGTACAGAAGATAAATGTATAGACTGTCTTTATTAAGAAATTTCAAGCAGTAAATTTGTGTACCCCGGCATCAAATTTGATGCCGGTTTATACACATCTACAGCTTTTGCTCAACTGACTTAACAGATTTCCAAAATTAAGCTCTTTAGGGACACACGATTAACAGAAAAGAGAAAATACAAACCAACCAATCAAGACCACTATCACCATGAAAAATCATTAAAAGGCAAGTGCATATTTCATTAAATGGTGTCGAGGATTATCACTTCAACAGCTCTGTTTTACGGTGCTTACAGAGAGACATGTACAAAGCCCCATAGGAAAATGTTGCCTAATTCAACTGGAAGTACTTACTCTGCCTTTGCGATCTGTGCTCTTTCTTGATATGGTTAGATGTTTGGGGGGGGGGTCATTTAAATCATATTAAATTAAAATGTTGAACTTTGGCTTACTCACATCACAGAACACTGACAACAGTACTAAACTGAGAGGTCGTTGTTGTCAGCCGTATGACAGCTTGACCAATACGGGCGATTCACAATAGTGCGCCTCCAAGAGTTCGCAGTGCATTG